TGACTTCTGGCAGGACTGAGGATGTCCACATTAGGGTTTAGCTGCAGCATCTGGAAGGGGCTTCCTGTTGTCTGAAGCTGATTAGGTCCATGGTTAATATATCCTCCCTGTGTAAAAGACAGTAAATTGTCCTCTAATGTATTTAATTCACTTTGAAATTTACTAATTTTTGCCATTTGTGTATGCTGGCTTTCTCTCAAGTGTTGAAGACTTTCTTCCTGTTTCTTTTCTTGTTTCAGTTGCCACTGGTGCTGGTTTTCTTGCCACTGCTGTAGTTTCCTTTCTTGTTTCTTTTCTTTCTCCTCCAACAACTGCTGTATCCTCTCTTCTTGTTTCCTTTCTTTTTTCTCCAACAGCTGCTGTAATCTCTCTTCTTGTTTCTTTTGCTGTTCTTGTATTGTTGCCATCAAATCTGCTAAGCTGTAGTTTGATTTGCCACTTCTCATTTCCATCTTCTTTTTTTTTCTTTTCCGTCCCACTCTGACACCAATTTGTTACGTATGTACTCGTTTGTTAATTTCCAGTATAAATTCTTTTTGAAGAACTTCAGTGATACAAGTCCTTTCGTAATTTAAACTAGGTTACTCTTTCTCGATACAACTTTGTAATACAGAATTTGCACAGTCACTTTAAACTCAACAACCTTTATAACACACGCTATAAATCACAGTGATTCACACACTTTCATTATGGTACCTACTGTTCGCTTGACTCAATTATCTATCTCTCTTCAATCCAGCTGGTTTTTTCTCGCCGGGCTTATATACTAAAAAAGAGGGCATCTAGCAAACATTCAGACATTCGCAGAGTTCCTCGATAATTCGAGAAACTCCAGAGCACATGCGACTTCTGCTGTCGTAACAGTACATTGTATTGGGTGCTAGTGTTTCAGTACTTGGATTATTTGGTATACTTTTTATTGAGTGCTAGTATGTAAAAACTGTAGAAATTGTGTAGGAATGTGTTTTACATGGTTTACATTATTTGTAAAGAATATAAAACATCTATAAACTGCAGGGATTGTGTAGGAATGTGTTTTACATGGTTTACATTATTTGTAAAGAATATAAAACATCTATAAACTGCAGGGATTGTGTAGGAATGTGTTTTACATGGTTTACATTATTTGTAAAGAATATAAAACATCTATAAACTGCAGGGTATGTGTAGGAATGTGTTTTACATGGTTTACATTATTTGTAAAGAATATAAAACATCTATAAACTGCAGGGATTGTGTAGGAATGTGTTTTACATGGTTTACATTATTTGTAAAGAATATAAAACATTTATAAACTGCAGGGATTGTGTAGGAATGTGTTTTAGTTTTACATGGTTTACATTATTTGTAAAGAATATAAAACATTTATAAACTGCAGGGTATGTGTAGGAAT